AGGTAATGGAGGAGGGGAGAGACAGCCTATAGATCAGATAAGTGAGGGATGGGGGGAGGCAGCCTATAGATCAGGTAAGTGAGGGATGGGGGAGACAGCCTACAGGAAGGGTCAGCAAGGAGCAGGAAGGTAAAGTAAGAGAAGAAGCAGAAAGGAGCAGGAAGGGACATTAAGGAGCAGAAAGGGGCAGCAATGAGCTGGAAGGGACAGCAAGGAACACAAAAGGTAAAGTAGGAGAAGGAGCACAGAGGAACATAAATAAGGAGGAAGGGGCATCAAGGAGCATGAAGGGTCAGCAAGGAGCACAAAGGGTCCACAAGAAGCAGGAAGGGGCAGCAAGGAACTGGAAGGTAAAGCAGCACAAAGGTAAAGTAGAAGGAGAAGAAAGGGTCAGCAAGGAGCTGGAAAGGGCAGCAAGGAGCAGGAAGGGACAGAAGGAGCACAAAGGTAAAGTAGGAGAAGGAAGAGAAATGAGCAGGAAGGGACATCAAGGAGCAGCAATGAGCTGGAAGGGGCAGAAGGAGCACAAACGTAAAGCAGGAGAAGGAGCAGAAATTAGCAGGAAGGATCTGCAAGGAGCAGGAAAGATCTGCAAGGAGAAGGAAGGGTCTGCAAAGAGCAGAAAGGGACAGAAGGTGAACAAAGGTAAAGGAGCAGAAAGAATCAGAAGGAGTACAAATGTAAAGTAGGAGAAGGAGCAGAAAGGGTCTAAAAGGAGCAGAAAGGGATCAGTAAGAGAAAGGAACAGAAGGGTGCAAAATAAGCAGAAAGTAGCAGAAAGGTAAAGGAGTAGAAGGAGCCAATGAGGAGAGAAGACAGTGTCAGAAGAAAAAGAAGACTGTGTCAAATAATGGAGAAGAAAAGGAGATTGGAGCAGGAAGGACAAGTGAAGTGAACCCTCCACTTGATTCTGGACACCACATCATAAGGCTTTGGTACCTGGGCCTGGCAGGGAAACTTTGGACCTTCTCATCTCCCCAGGTAAAAAAAAAAATATCAGTGTTAATGTGTTGACTTTTATATACTGAGTGTCAGGAAGCAGAGTGCCGGTGGGTAGGAGTGTCGCTGATTGGCTAGAGCGGTCAGCTGGCACTCTAAGCCAATCAGTAGCTCACCATTCATAAAAAAGTAAAACTTTTTTATGAACCGGGAACTAGCGATTGGCTTAGAGCGTCAATTGACCATTCTAGCCAATCTGCAGTACCCATGCCTGACATCAATCTGCACTTCCTGCCACTCCGTTTCAGAAGCTGAATACCACTGAGCGACCTGGAGATCTGGAGCTGGAGGAAGCCTTTGGGGTTAAACCATTTGAGAGCGGTTTAACCTCTTAAAGGAAAGAGAGCACCCCGGGGATTCCTGGCATCATAAAATTTCATTTAGATGAAGTTGTTATGGTGACAAGAATGTTCTTTTAATTTGCTTAAAGGAACACTATAGTGTCAGGAATACAAACATGTATTCCTGACACCATAGTTGTGAAAATGCTATTCACCTTTGCTTTATGTGATAATGACTATGCCCCTTTCCCTTTCTTGACACTGTCAAAAAGGGACCAAGCATGGATGTCATTACAATTCCCCCTCCCCCCCCGTGGAAAAATTGCTGCGGACGCCCATGGTGACTTGCCAATGGAGATTCTGCTGCTTTGGTAAAGTCAGAATCGGTGCCCTTTTGTGGGTAACCCCACTCTGGGTAGGAGATGCGTTTTCTACAGTCGTCGGTGGCAACCTCCAAGGAAGCTCCAAGGTGACAAGTGAGTCTAGAACAGAACTCAGAGAACAGTCCATCTAATTGAGTCAGGATAGAGGTTTCAGGTCTCGAGGCGTAATGTTACAAATGGCGTCTGCCATCTTGTATGAGATAAGATAGCTGCAGCTGATGAAATGGCTGCTTATATGTTGTCACCGTAACACAGGTAGTGAATACCAGCATATCCAGGGGAGAGCACAAGGGATAATTACCAGAGTTTACTAATTACAGGAGGCAAATATTATACTTTTTCTCTTACTTTATTCCTCAGCAGCAAAGAAAGGATATAAGATATTCATAAAAATCTTTTTTAAACAAGTACCCTAAAGGATTAACCATAACATCATAGCATCTTAGCCAATGAGAGCAGTCCACATAGCCATATCATCCCATGTGACTCTTAGCCACTCCTCTTTCTTGGTGATGCCGAAGCCAACCTTCAACGAAAAAAATGAAATTAAAGTAACTGGATCAACACATCAGACTGCCTAGCCGCCGATATCCTCCGCGTGAATGGATCTTTAGGAACACATCCACTGTAAATTGTAAAGAAAACCGATCTTGATGGTAGTAATCAGCAAAGTGTCAAGCTGGAAGGGACAGAGAAAAGAAATGGTAAAATATGTCCCAGAGACCATCATCCATATTACCACAGTACAGACTAGGCTGAATGATTTAAATATATGCGACTAAAATAAGCATACAGTAGACAATAAAATCTTGACATACTACAAAAAAACAAGCCAGACGTCAAATCAATCCCTATGACTTACCGAGGGTGTGAGAAGAAAAACGTAGAACGTAACTGAAAACGTACCTGTATCGGGCTAATATTCGCCTCCGTGTCCTTTATAAAATCATGACTTTACGTCATGTAATTAGTAAAAATCTGGTCTAAAGCTGTGAAATACCCATCAATGACACATGTTCTATAGGGTGAAAATAATACTCCTTGAACGTAGATTTAGGAAAACCTGTTTGCATGATATCAGACAGAGGAGCATGGCCAATTTTGCTGACAGCTGTTTAAGCGTGAGGTCTGCATTCTGTGGCCAGGTTCCAAGCAAGGTCAGAACCAGGTTCACATCCCATACTGACTTATATCGAGGATGAGGTGGTTGTGCAAATCTAATGCCACGTAGGAGTCGACACACCAAAAGATGTTTACCCACTGGGGAACCCTCTATTCCATGATGGCCAGCGGAGATTGCTGATCTATAGACATTAAAAGTACGATAGGCCAGACCTTGGTCATATAAGCCCATAAGAAAACTCAATAGGCAATTCGCAGGTGCATATACGGGATCTACTTGTTGTTCCATGCACCAACGACTCCATGAGTTCCAGGCATACCTTAGTATCATCTTGTTCCAGGGGCCCAGGCTCCTGCCAGTAATTCGAAAGATGGTTGTGGAACACCTGGCATGACCCAGGCTTTTTATGGGGTTATTGCATGTTTTGGGCTCCCTGTGATATATTTTATAATACTGTATTTCTCTGCCTGTGATAATTATATTAACTGATGTGTTCAGTAATCATATCACAGGCAGAGGGGAGGATTTTGTGTGGGAGTGTCTGTGTGTATTGTACGGATTGATTGGTTGTATTTCAAAACCCTGTGGGCAGTACTATGTTTGTGGATTGTGAATAAAAGAGGCTGTATGTGCCAGTACAGTGAGTTCTGCTTGACCTCAAAACAAAGTGTTGTCTAGTTATTGGGGGAATTGGATTGTATGCTGATTGCCAGGAGTGTAAGCTGATTGTATGCTTTTCCTGTTCAGCTGCTCACAGCATTCATATGCTTGAGAGCATTCGTATGCTTCTCCGGTTCGGTGGTTGTGGTGTCTGCTGCAGTGCTTGGAGTCCTCAGGAAGCGCTAAGAGCATCTTTCAATGGAAGTACCCAGTCGGGGTGCCAGGTGATCCGTTACACAGTCTGGGAAGATCTATGGATATCTCCATGAAAGAAGGGTACCAAAGCTGTGCAGTCCAGAATGGGGCTATGAGAACCAAAGACGTCCGTGAACGGCTGAGGTGTATTAATGTCCAAGCCACTAGGGAGAAAGGAGGAAATGCATAAAATCGTCTGTCCGGCCACGATTGGAGAAAGGTATCTGTCACTAAAGCGTCCGGGTACGGCCTCCAACTGAAGAACACTGGGAGTTGGGAATTCAATTGAGAGGTGAACAGGTCGATATACATCGGGCCCCAGAGCGTTTGCATCGTGGTCCAGTCGCCAATCACGCCTGTCTCGCAGATGTCTGGAATTCCAATCCGCTATTGTATTGGACAGACCTGGAATGTATTCTGCTTCTACTGATATATTGTGATCCAGGCAATATTGCCAGAATTCCGTGGCTAGGTCCATCAGTATCTTGGATCTCGTGCCACCCAGATGGTTAATGTAGCGTACTGCCGATATATTGACCATTCGCAGAATAATGGAGCAATTTATCGTGAGACTGAGGAGGCTCTTTAGGGCGAACGATCACACGCCATAAGTTGATGTAAAGCCCGTTTTCCGATAGGGACCATTTTCCTCCTGTCGAGTTAGGACCACAACCTTGAGTGTTCGCATCGGATACTATAATAAAATCCAGGGCGGTTCCACGCTTCCATATGTTACAGCCACCAGGTGAGTTCCTCCTTGGCTGTGTAGTCGAGTGGAACGGAGTTGGAATAGGAGCGACCCAAGCGTAAGTGCGTGGCCTTTAGTCTTTGAAGGGCCCTGTAATGAAGAGGCCCCTGGGAAAAATCGCCTGGATGGAGGCTGAGAGGAGACCGATTATCCTGGCCAGTTGTTGTAAGGTTAACACCGGGCGAGCCAAGGCCCTGCGGATATCCTTCTTGATCAGTTTGACCTTTGTGGGCGGTAGGCTGAGGATCCCGTGTACCGAGTCTATGTTGAATCCCAAGAATTCCATTGACTGGGAAGGGGTTAGTACTGACTTTTCCCAGTTGATCAGGAATCTTAAGTTTTGTAGGAGGAACAACACCCAAAAGAGATATTGATGGAGCTCGTGAACATTGTGTGCCGTGATCAGCATATCGTCTAAGTATATGATCATACAGGCACCTCTGCTGTGCAGGAGGGTGACCACGGGTTTCAGCAGATTGGTGAAGCACCATGGAGCCGACGTCAGCCCAAAGGGAGATACCAGAATATCCATGTTATCTCGTCCCATTGGAATTGAAGGAGGTGTTGACACTCCTCGGCAATCGGGATAGTGAGATAGGCGTCCTGTAGGTCGAGTTTGACCATCCAATCCCCCAACCTGAGGAGGTCTCGAAGGCAGTGGATTCCCTCCATTTTGAAGTGGTGGTATTGAATAAATGCATTGAGGGGGCGCAGGTTGATAACCGGCCTCACCCCACTGCCCATTTTGGGCACCAAAAAGAGGTTGCTCAGAAACCCGGGAGAGCAAGGTGGAACTTGGTAGATCACGTATTTCCCTTGTTTTCTTGATGGTTTTCTTTCCCTTGGATTTCTTCCACTACCAGGTCTCTGTCCTGTTGGTGCGGCAAGGTTGGACTGGGGGTTGCACAAACGCTATATGATAACCTAGAATGGTATTGAGGACCCAAACATCTGATCTTAGTCTGTGCCAGGCCTCGACAAAATGGAACAGTCTGCCTCCCACATATGACATACAAAGGGGGGGACGGACGGTAGAGCGCTTACTATAAGGCCGTCAGCCATACGTGCTACCCCTGGTCCCTCAGGACTGCCTCTGACTGGGAAGAAAGGCGAAAGGGACTTGGTTTCTGTATGCTGGAACCTAGACATGGTGGAGCCTCAGTAGCCCTGGTAGGAACCCCGGGAGGAACGGCAGGACAGATCTGCAAGGCATTGGGGTCAAACAGGGGTTCACCCTGTGGGCTGAGAATGGAGGAAGCGTCCGTGATCTCTTTAGCACAAATGGCCTTTTTTATAGCCAACTGCGGTCCGGAAATGAAGTCTCCGAGTCAATAGAGCCGATCTCATTGGACTCCTTCAAAACCTCCTCAGAATCCGAACCAGAGTCGGAAGAATCTGTTAGGGCTTTTGCCCTCATCCATGTCTGCACTGCTTTTGCCAGGCGGGTGGCTCTTTTACGTGGGGGCCCCATGTCCTCAGTGGTACCTGTCCGTCAGTTTAGTTTTGGAGGTATTCTCACCCACATTGTGGGTCTTCTTCGTAGCCTTACGGCTGCTAGGAACCATGGCTTATCCTCAAAGGGCCTGGGACATGTCAGACTAGGGGCGTGACTAGACGCCATAATGGCGTTGGTAATAGAGTGGGACAAGTTGTCCGACTTCGCTCCCATCGCAGAATAAATGGCCTGGGTTATTGATTTGGTCATCGCAGCATCCAGGAGCGAGTGGAGCTACTCTGAGTTCACTTGCTCCAGTGAAGCTACCTCCTCCCCCTAATGGGTAGGAGGTCTAGGAGCAGCTGGTGCCTAGTGACACTCTCAGCAATGGTAGGGACAGTACCCTCAAACTCCTTAGGGGTCTGCATAATAAGCAATAAGGGATACCACACTAACAAGGAAACTGCAGTGAAAATTAACCATTTGTCACAGAAGGGGTGTTGGGCGAGAAGCAGTTAAACCAAGGCACAATAAGCTAACAGGACAAAGCACAATACAAAAACGCTGGCAGCTTACTGTGAGTTCCCTCAGGAATAGCCCCAGGGAAGCACTGGCAGGATGTCCAGCACGTTAAGAATCCAATCAGCTCGCACCCGCCCCTAAACGAGCAATGCGACCCGGGAAAAAAAGCACAGCAAACTCTTTGCCACACTCAATATGTCTGCCGCGATGCGCAGCCACGAACTGTGCATGCGGTAGCGACCCCGTTCGCATTATAGGCCGCACCAGAAAGGCCGTCACCGTGACGTGCCCTGAGACCGGGTTGCCCTGACCGGAACACTAACGGGTAATAAACTACACGAAAGGCACAAGTTATGAGAAAAAAAACAAGGCAACCAAGCACAAGAATAAACAAATACAGCAAAAATATGACAGAGCAAATTAATGGTGATACTTCAGAAAGAGGAGTGGCTAAGGGTCACATGGGATGATATGGCTATGTGGACTGCTCTCATTGGCTATGCTATGATGCTATGGTTAACCCTTTAGGGTACTTGTTTCATTTTTTTCTATGAATATCTTATATCCTTTCTTTGCTGCTGAGGCATTATGCTTTGATAATGGCTTGTTTCCCTAATCGTTTTATCCTTTATGTCTGGATACTGCTATCCTTTATCCTATATCTCTGGATAGTACTGGTTCAAGCTCAGCATGTTTTTGTTGTTATTTTTTCCAAATGAATAGGGAAATTACAATGATTGATGCAATTACAATCCAACCATATTGATACTTTGCAAACTGTTATTACCAGTATAAACAGGGTGTGCATCTGTGTGTGTGTGTCAAGGTGTGCATCTGTGTGTGTGTATATGTATATGTCAGTGTGCATATCTCTGTGTGTGTGTAAATATGTCAATGTGCATCTGTGTGTGTATATGTCAGTGTGCATCTGTGTGTGTGTGTGTATATATATGTCAGTGTGCTTCTGTGTGTATCTCTGTCACTGTGTGTGCATCTGTTGTATGTGCATCTGTTTGTCAGGGTGTGCATCAGTGTGTTATGGTGTGTACATGTGTCACTGTATGCGTGTGATAAGGTGTGTGTATGTGTTGGTGTCTATATGAATTTGTGTGTGTCGGTGTATTTGTATGTATCTGTGTGTTAATGTGCATGTATATCTGTGTAAGTATGTATGTATGTATGTAGTGTATGTGCATACATCCAAGAAGTCAAACACCAGCACAACATACAAACACACATATTACATGCAAACACACCCCTTCACTCAAACACAAATACTTCACACAAATGTACATCCGCATTTAAAAGTGAACACTACATTGTAACTAGTGATGTCCCGAACTGTTCGCCGAACGGTTAACGAACGGTTTGCCGCGAACGGTTCGCCGCGGACTCATCATTGAGTAAACTTTGACCCTGTACCTCACAGTCAGCAGACACATTGCAGCCAATCAGCAGCAGACCCTCCATCCCAGACCCTCCCACCTCCTGGACAGCTCACTAAGAATGCAGCTTCACAATGGATGCTGTCCAGGAGGTGGTAGGGTCTGGGAGGGAGGGTCTGCTGATGATTGGCTGGAATGTGTCTGCTGACTGTGAGGTACAATGTGTTACAATTAGTGATGTGCCGAAAGGTTCGCCACCAACGGTTCGCGGACTCATCACAAATTGTAACACATTTCTGCAACCAAACGCAAACATTACATAAAAACACAACACACCACTGTATTAAAACACTAAAATTATACACAAGCACCCCTTCAAACACCAACAATATACATTTCACTATAGTGCTTGTATACGCCGCAGCACTGTCCAGATATACAACCTATACATTTGTTTTAACTTGGGGTGCAATTGAAAATATATTGATATACCCTTTGTACAGCGTTACGGAATCGGATGGCGCTATACAGGGAGTGCAGAATTATTAGGCAAATGAGTATTTTGACCACATCATCCTCTTTATGCATGTTGTCTTACTCCAAGCTGTATAGGCTTGAAAGCCTACTACCAATTAAGCATATTAGGTGATGTGCATCTCTGTAATGAGAAGGGTGTGGTCTAATGACATCAACACCCTATATCAGGTGTGCATAATTATTAGGCAACTTCCTTTCCTTTGGCAAAATTGGTCAAAAGAAGGACTTGACAGGCTCAGAAAAGTCAAAAATAGTGAGATATCTTGCAGAGGGATGCAGCACTCTTAAAATTGCAAAGCTTCTGAAGCGTGATCATCGAACAATCAAGCGTTTCATTCAAAATAGTCAACAGGGTCGCAAGAAGCGTGTGGAAAAAGCAAGGCGCAAAATAACTGCCCATGAACTGAGAAAAGTCAAGCGTGCAGCTGCCACGATGCCACTTGCCACCAGTTTGGCCATATTTCAGAGCTGCAACATCACTGGAGTGCCCAAAAGCACAGGTGTGCAATACTCAGAGACATGGCCAAGGTAAGAAAGGCTGAAAGACGACCACCACTGAACAAGACACACAAGCTGAAACGTCAAGACTGGGCCAAGAAATATCTCAAGACTGATTTTTCTAAGGTTTTATGGACTGATGAAATGAGAGTGAGTCTTGATGGGCAGATGGATGGGCCCGTGGCTGGATTGGTAAAGGGCAGAGAGCTCCAGTCCGACTCAGACGCCAGCAAGGTGGAGGTGGAGTACTGGTTTGGGCTGGTATCATCAAGATGAGCTTGTGGGGCCTTTTCGGGTTGAGGATGGAGTCAAGCTCAACTCCCAGTCCTACTGCCAGTTCCTGGAAGACACCTTCTTCAAGCAGTGGTACAGGAAGAAGTCTGCATCCTTCAAGAAAACATGATTTTCATGCAGGACAATGCTCCATCACACGCGTCCAAGTACTCCACAGCGTGGCTGGCAAGAAAGGGTATAAAAGAAGAAAATCTAATGACATGGCCTCCTTGTTCACCTGATCTGAACCCCATTGAGAACCTGTGGTCCATCATCAAATGTGAGATTTACAAGGAGGAAAACAGTACACCTCTCTGAACAGTGTCTGGGAGGCTGTGGTTGCTGCTGCACGCAATGTTGATGGTGAACAGATCAAAACACTGACTGAATCCATGGATGGCAGGCTTTTGAGTGTCCTTGCAAAGAAAGGTGGCTATATTGGTCACTGATTTGTTTTTGTTTTGTTTTTGAATGTCAGAAATGTATATTTGTGAATGTTGAGATGTTATATTGGTTTCACTGGTAATAATAAATAATTGAAATAGGTATATATTTGTTTTTTGTTAAGTTACCTAATAATTATGCACAGTAATAGTCACCTGCACACACAGATATCCCCCTAACATAGCTATAACTAAAAACAAACTAAAAACTACTTCCAAAAATATTCAGCTTTGATATTAATGAGTTTTTTGGGTTCAGTGAGAACATGGTTGTTGTTCAATAATAAAATTAATCCTCAAAAATACAACTTGCCTAATAATTCTGCACTCCCTGTATAAATAATAATAATAATATATTAAGGGCGTCTCGAACCTAAAAAGTGTGGGAACCACTACTCTCAACTAATCAGTAACTCCCCACTCATATAATTGACTTGACAAAAATGTGTATGTTTCTCAATCTCTTTTGAGAATGGGGTCCTACTGATTTGGCTTAGAGCAGGGGTAAGCAATCTTCAGCACTCCAGTTGTTGTGGACCACATATCCCTTGATGCTTTGCCAGCATTAGGGCTTAAAGAGCATAATGGGAAATGTAGTCTACAACATGAGTGCCAAAGGTTACCTTCCCATGGCTTAAAGCATCAGCTGACACGATTAGCCAATCAGAGGCTGAGGCAGTCCAAGGCTTTCTGTTTGAAGAATCTTAGAGAAGCAGAAGGACAGGGACAGAGTTAAAGGGCACTGGAGAGAAGACTAAAGGTAAGTGCCAGGAACACAGTTTAGTGGACGGAGCCCAAGATGCAGATAGATGCTTAAGGCAATAAACCAAATTCGCAGTACTAAAGGATCAGATGAAGAGAATAGTCAGGGAAGCCAAAGGTCAGGACTGGCGGCACAGGTTCAGAAGCGATGATACAGACAAGGGTCAAAATCAGGAACAGGATTAGGATACAACAGGATAGTCTCTGAAGGTCTTTACACAATCAGGAGCACATTACAAAAGTGAAGGGTGTGTGCGACTTAAATTGAGGTTCCACCCTGGTCTCCACTACCTGTACCTTTAAAAGGCTCTGTGTCGGTGCACGTGCTTTGATTCTTCTGAAGTTCTTCCCTCTGTGTGGTCGCACATGGAAACAGCAGCGTTCTCACAAGCAGACTTCTGTTCTTGCTCTGTTCGGGAGCCAGCATCCATACGAACGGAGTTCTGTCTGCACTCTATAGGTGAGTAGCGTTCGCATGAACAGAGGTGGCGTTCGTACGCATGGAGTTCTTCCTTCTGTATCTGGTAAGTGGCGTTCGTGGGAACAGAAATGCTGTTCGCATAAACAAGAGATGTCAGCATGGGTGATTGAACTGACCACGCTGCCTGGGGGATCGCGCTCCGACGCGGCTTCCTCGTGGAATGAGTGAGAGATGTGGTGGGAGCACGAAGTAGGTGAGTGAGGGGACAAGGACCTGATAGTAAGTTGGTGTCAGGGACCATAACTAAATGAATATCTGCCCTGACTTGAAGACGTGTGCAATTGTCACATGTTATAATTGTTAATGCATTTAGCTGTCTGTAACCTTCAACCATGCAATTGAAAAGCCATTTAAGCTGCCATTTTGTTTTTTGTTAACCTCATCAGATGGACAAAAATGTACTTTGCGTTCAGGCTTTTCTGAGATAAATGAATGCGCATCTCTTGTAGCTATTTTTTATGAAATTAAGAGATTTCCCTCACAGAAAACAAGACATCACCAAATCTCCAAACATGCCCCATTTTCACAAACCACCTGCTAAACTGGCATGTATGTTCCTTCTGGCCATTCAATACTGGATTAAACAGGGAGTGGTAAAATTCCTCCTGTAAACTTAAGACTTACATGACATCTGCTTGGACAGCTCCCAAAGAAAAGCTGTCCATAACTGTGCCGAAGAAAGGTTGTGGGTGCTACCAATATGTTTTACTGTGTAATCAATGACGAACAACTGTCACTAATGCAGTGTTCATCTATTTCATGAGTAAATTTGGAGAAGGTAACATTTGCGTGGCCTAATGATTAATGATAAGTAAATGTGTATTAGACATAGATACCCCTAGTTTGCATTTAGTGGAATGTTATCTGGCACAAGGCTATTAAAATGAGTCATTTTGCTGGCAACAATCTCAGCAGAGAAAGTCCGATCAAATCAGGAATGCGGAATGGATGTGGCATGGACGTGGTGCCAAGTTTGTTATTTAAGAGTTGATGTTTAATTTACAAAGCACTAGTGTTAGCTATGGGATGGACTGATACTGGTATAGGTTATGCTGGGACATACGGTTGACCTCTTAGCGATGCTGAAAAATAATGAGGTCAGTCTTTTTACCTATTAGAAGTATCAGTGTGGAACATTTTCAGAATCTGTATCACAGAAAACATTTTGGCAGAAATGCTTAAACCGGTTTTCTTCCTGCTGCTTTTATTTCCCCTTATGTACCAATATCCAGGCAAACACTTAACTCCTGCCACAAGTCTAGAGATCTAGAGATCTTAAGGTAGTTTTAGATATGTATTAGTGGTGACCATACCGAAGAACACGCCGTTAATTGTGTTTTTTAGTTTTGTCTTTTGTTCATAGATGATTCTTTTATTACTTGTTTAGAATTCTCAGGAAATGATACTTTCTAGATACAGCTTCAGCATTACCTGTTCATTACTGTAAGCACTAATTGGTTGATTTACAGACTCTTTATATTTTTGCTGTCCCAGAGATGCAGGGCACTGGAGAGACATTGTCCTACATAAGGTACAGATGTTTTTATGTTTTTTTAAAATTCTCTCATTATTGGAACTTCTGTCAGCTGTATTACCAATACATTCTTAACCAATCATGTGAAAGCGTGTTTAAATGGTTATCTAACAAAACGTGTTTTGGAATCAATCAGTTTAATTGTGCATGTATTCATTTAGTGTCCTAAATACAGTGCAGAAACAAGTGGTCTTTTGCAAGATACAACTTTCTGAAATTATGGTATACACTTTTCCATTATTTTGTTAAAGTCAATAAAACCTTGCACCTACAGTGTCTGCATTAACTTAGATCAGTCTATTTGTGCAGTTTTTGCATTTATGTAACATTACCTTTCTCGGTATGTCTTGAACAGACTGTAACTGACCTTGAAACACTGAATAAAAATAGCTATTTCTGTAGGACCAATATTACAGAGAATTTCTTTATCTATTTATAAAACCCCAATAATCTGCACTCTGAAACTATTACAGTGTAATACAAACTCCAGTGTTTAAAGGTCAACTCTATATGTAGATAAAGGTTTTGCGCCTGTATGTGCCATTTATAGTAATTTATAACATTGCCAAGCCTAACATATATAAATCATCTCTTGAAAAGGATATCAATCTGGTTTACTTAAACCACACCATGTGAAGAGGTGACTATCTGAGGTCTCTTCAAAAATAGTTATAGAAGACTATAGCTTTGTAGAGTATGTATGACATAAGAAAAAGGTGCTCTGTGCAATTAGGAGACCACCCCAGAGTCGGAACTCCAAGGAAGACCACCCCAGATTCGGAACTCCAAGGAAGACCACCCCAGAGACTTTTACCTTTTGGTATCTGTATATACAGTTTTACTTTGCTTAATTGTTTTTTTTTTTTTTTTAATAAATTGTTACTTTTACCTTATACATCTGGTAGTGGATCTTCAACTGCTTCCTGCATTTTCTAAAGAAGGGTAGTGCCTCCCTTAAAGGCACCACACGCTTATACATAGAGCCTAGTACAATTGGCTCTATTCCAGGTGAGCACATTCATGCACTGTTATATGTGACCACTTGTTTATTTTAAACATACTTGCACTAGGATTTTTGTCCTTTTTTATCCACATATGTTGTGAGCTGTATATCTGGAGAAGTCTGGTATTACCAAACATACCTCAGCTGTTGTGATTTGAGCCAATCTCCAGGCTCTTTACCATGTGAGTTGGACATACATCTTCTTCCACTCCATTCACACCTTACAAGCATACTGCACCATGATGTGTATTTTCTTGTTGTAGATTTTATTATGCTGTCTGCCCCTTAAAGTGATATATACGTTATTCCAATAGCGGTAAGAATTTGATATTTAGCGCTCCACTGAGTGATCTTTTGGTGGTAGTACGATCCACTAAGTTCACTTTTTTCTTTCACAATATGTATGACATAAATTTATAAAAAAAACTTTGCGATTCAATATTGGATCTTAAAAGAACACACAAAAGTAAATATCTCTGTTAGTGTAATCACTGCTCATACAATCTCCACGAAAAAATGGACACATGAAGACACAAAAGTACAACGGTTGTTTGGTTCCCAGTTCTTTTTGCCCTTTATTGCATTGTGTTATGTTTATTTCCAGCACGGAGATCCAGGAGGCAGGGACCAGAGGCGTAGTATAAAATGGGAGCAATAAATAGATTTTTGTCCGAGGAGGGAGGCGCTATGCACAGGTGGGACGTAAAGCTTGATAGGATTAGCATTCAGCCACCAGGGCTGCGAACTCTGTAAAGACGAGAGATCAGATTAGAGAGGCAATTTACATAAATGGAAAAAAAAATTAAAACAAGATCTCATCTTTCTGTTTTACTGGAACCTATGGTACTAGAACCTGTTTTTGTCACAGTGTGCACTATTTGTTTGTGTTCTTTTTATATAGTCTATATATCAACAGTGAGGACGTTACTTACCCAAATATCCCAGAGTGGGATTTGTATCACTCCACGCTGTTGAAAAGAGCCATTTTGGGGCTCCACATCATGTGAGTGAACATCTACTTATTTATTCATCCTGTAATTATCAACTCAACATATTACACTATATTTTTTTTTTTTTTTTTTTTAATATCTCATGGAGCATCCAACCCGGAGCAAGAGTACTTCTCTCACCTCTCCCTAAAGTACCTTTCTGTTTTACTGCTTGTTGTATTAGTGTGGGCTTAGGACATTGCAATCACAAGTGTCCTGTGAAATAACATGTATCAGAAAACTAAAAGTAAAAGCCATATGATCATAGAGTCCATCCTACATTTCTTACTCTGGCCAATGCAGGGTTAGCAAATTCAGTTTTTGTGATGATCAATCAATGCCTTTTAAGAACAACAGGTGGAGTTACAGATTACCACCCCAATCACCAAAGTTTCTAACTCTCTTTCACCCTTCCTGGTTTGGTTAATTCATACCTTTTACCTGTAGTCATACAGTTCCCTATTGGTATTGGGAAATAATCGCCTGTTGAATTAGTTCCAATTTCTTTAATACCTCTAAACTTATTACTCTCTGCATGAATTCACTACTCCTCTCTAATCTCAATAACATCTTGTTTTTCCAAGGTTTTGGTGTGTCAGTGGCCCTGACATCTTCCTCGAGCTTGCTGAAATGTAATCATTGCTGAAAGTGTGATGTGATCAAAACATAGATCTCGTCATGTTGTAGACTACACCTCCCTTAATGCTTTGCTACTCTGATGTCTGGCAAAACTTTTTGGGATATCTGTGGTAAGTACTAGTTTTTTTTTAAAGTGCAGTGGATATAATGGCTTTAAAACTAAATTAAAATAATGAAATACAGTTTAATCAAGTCAAAGTGCAATTTGTACTTCCACGTTTATTTTGCACAAACTCTATTCTTACAAAACAATGGTACCCTTTAGAAAAACCCCAACTTAATATTGTGTTATATTTTATGCATTTGTTGGATCATCAATTTATTTCAATTCCTGTATATTTCACTTGTAACCACATTCTTTGCCTCCTTTCTTGTTACTTAGCAACCCTAAACTCAGGAAGACACTAGAGCAACAGTGAGAAAGTAGCCACATTGCTACTTCCCGTTATCATAGTTTATTAATTGCAGATAGAACCTTATAAACTTACTTGTATTGGTATTAGATAGTGGTCTACAAACCCTTGGGATATAAGTTAGTAATATAGTTTATTTACCTGGTTACAAGTAAAATACAATGAGACTAAGCGATCATCAAAATTAAACATTATGCTTCTATCTGAGTGAAGAAGCGAGGTAAACCTGTGGTAAATTTTCCAGACCATATGGGTTAGTTGATACTATTGCCTTGTTTTTAATTTTATAATCAATGTATAATTTAAAAGTATATTATAAGTATAAGAATGATATTATATTACAGAAAATAGCCATCTATCTGCACCATAGTGGACCAGAATGGCTCCTCACTTAACTACTAGGCAAAGATTGGACTGTTAGATGGTCCACCAATTCTTGAAAAGAAGGGTAGGTTTTACCCATGCTCCCTGCAATCTTTATGCAGAAATATAATAATGACCTAATCTTAAAAAAAACTATAGCGTTTGGAATACAGTCACTGGTAATTGAGCACCTACCATCTACTCCAATTTTGCCGTCTCCATCTTTGTCGCCGGCTGCTAGTAGGATTTTGGTTTCCTTGTCGGACAGAGCTCGGCCATTTGGGGTGAAGCCTTTCAATACCATCCTGTGGGATTTATTAAGGGTTACCTTTTTATAAATATATGGCATAATATTTAGTTAAACATGATATAAGTGAAATCGATTTTTTTTTTCCTTTCTGTTAGATAAAAATCTATTTAAAAAAAATGTTTTTTGGGGGAGAATATTCTTATCTATAAGCCCTTCTGAGATACTTTACAACGAAAAAAGAAAAACAGTTTATTTTCACTTGTTGCAGTTGTAGTCTTACAAAAGACCTTTTACCTCCACAGCCGCTATGCACTCACTCCCTATCTCCATACCTTCCCTATTTTAAGTCCAATAAACCCTAACGTATTAATGTGTGATAATGCTAAAACAAGTCCTGCACAATTATAGCATACCAAACACAGCAAGGGTGATGAATGAAACTTTGTGGGCTTCTAAGCTATCCTAGGCAGGAACATCGGATGGGTTCACATTTTTTTGCCAGTGTAAAGCTGTAATTCATGGCCCAGGAGAGAAAACATCAGAACTATGCATGCTATTCACATTACATTATTTTTTTTCAATTTGAAACGTTAAATTTTATTTGTGTTTCACAAGGTTAAGCGTTCAGCGCCTGCACGCCAGGGTACAGAAAGTAAAAAGGGGTTATTGCAGGTACTTTTCGTTACATCACATGGGGGTTACACATGTTGCTTTCACATCCCCGCCCTGTTTGTCTAACTAGTCCTCACATTACATTTTGATGGTCATTTTGCAGCAATGCTAAAAGCGGTTGATTTATAGCATTTCCATAAATTAAGTCTACAATAAATGAGCGTGAATATCCTGGAAATGTAATTGTGTTTTCATAAATAAATTAGTATTATACCTTTGCATGTGGGTGTTACATTTTGATGCATTTAGGATTGAGCATTTGCGCGTAAACATGCTTTTAGAGTAGTGCGATAAACCTACTTAAGTTCATCCTCCTCTATATATCCACTCCGATCCTGGTCCAGAATATGGAAAACCTTTTTCACGTCATCTGTGCTTTTGCTCTTCAAGCCGCATAACTCGAAGAATTTTTTGTGGTTGAAAGAGTCAGTAGCTGAAGTCAGAGACATATAGACAAACGGGGTGGGGGGGTAGGGGAGGGGTTGAGAAAACACAACATCTATTAGAACGTTGAAGTTTAAACAAAATTAAGGTATAGTTGTGCTGGTGGCAGAAGAGATTTTTTTTTTAACAAAAATAAAGATAACACAAAACAAAAAAAATATATCCCATCTCACTGGAGAAAGCTAAGGTTTTCAAATTTAATACAAGGACTAAAGAACACACCAAAAGCATATCTCCTCCTTATGCATATTATTAAGTGCTGCACAAACTTGAATTCATTAAAGTAATTATGTACATGCAATGCATTTAGTTTTCCAGCCCGAGATTAGAGAATGGTGCAGAGAATTCTGCAGTCTTGAAGCAGTCATGCACTAGAAGGCATTGTAACCGCACAGCTATCAGAATGCCATGCTCGTTCTGAAAGTAATTGCTTCCAAGAAATAAAATGTTGTCCTTGAGGCTAGCATTATTCTTTATGAAATAGCTATGTTAATCAGTCTTTCCTTTACAGCCAACAGAGTTTAGTGATTCATTATCAGCCGCTTTACACAGACAGACACTGGCTGCTACAAAGAAACAGGCAGAGAGATCCCAACAAAAGGAAAAGGAGACAGATGCAGAAGTCATCTGAAAGGACAATACAGCGTAGCGGAGGAAGGTAATAGGAGAAGGGGGTGCAGAACAGAGTAGGGGAGCAGGAAAATGACAAAGTAAATTGAGAAAGAGACAAGAAAGACATCCGAATAAGCCTTCCAAATATAGCTGCATGTAAGTCCAATTTGGCTTTGTAGTGATGTATTGATTGCAGTTTAGGTTTATAAAAATGTTATAAATAGATTTTAATGCTTGTCTTATGAGTAGAGTTATCAAACCAGACTCAGTGCTTGGGTGGCAACAGCATCATCTGCTATAACAAAGCCATCTGGCTAGGTAACTCCATAAGGGTCACATTGATAATACTGCAGCAAACATTTACTAACTAGGTATAGTGCCCAGTGAGCCACTGGAGTTGGGTTACCTTCCTCTCTTAAACATAGCATCTGTGAACTTGATACAATACAATAAACTATTGAGGAAGTTGTCATGTCATGCTTTTTGTATATTTTTTTTTTTGTATTTTAATTAAAATTAAATATATAGCAGCAAATCTCCCACACCCATGCATTTTTTTATTTCTTACCTTCAAAGGCCCCCACTGCCTTTGAGATGTCGGCAGCTGCGAGCACATCAGTCATGGACATTGTGGCTTCTGATCTGCAGGAGAATGGGACAGAGTGAGAGGCAGGGAATGTTCTGCTGGACTCATCACTTCTAAGGGCCGGACGACCTGACTGCGGATACTTGCATGCACGCAACCTCCCGTGACAGTGGGAGGGGGGTGGACAGTTTAGGATGAAACTACTGGCAGAAAGCCAAGGGGCACCGTGCCAGTCACCTGAGCATTTGCCAATGTCACGTTATCCTTTTGTATTTGGGGCACAATGTCTTAGAGTTGTGATGTAGCAGGGGAATACTTTGGTTATTAACGTACCCCGATGCCATTCCCTTTAACCTCTTCTCTGCCGCAGCAGACAATAAATACTGCAACGTCTATGATTTAACATTGTGAGTGATATTATTTCTGTGCCATCAGCATAATTGCTCCCTTCACTTGTTATATAAAAGCACTTTGGAGGGCTCTGCATTTATTGATTTGGTCTCTTGCAGTTAATTTTGCAGTAGAAGTTCTATTGACTATCAGTAACTAGCATAAGTCATGTGAAATCCTGGACTGCATATTATGCACCAATGATATGACTGTTACAATTGCTGCAGCATTGAAGGCTTTGCACCGTATATGTATAAGGCTGTACATCTTTTTATTTACTTTGTTGATTTTATTCCACCATCCTTAAGATTTTAGACACCTGTGGTATAATGCTAAGTTCTATAAAATTCAGTATGAACAGATGATACAGCTGTGCACTTTATAACCATCTTTGATGGACACTTCCTGGTCTGCTTATGTCCATGATTTTGGGGAAACAGAGTTTGAGATGCTTGTGTTAAATTATGGGACATGAAGGATTTTACATGCAAAAAAACCCCCACTCTGATGAAACTGACATAGCCTCTACCTCAAGACAGAATATAAGTTTATGTGAAGGAATTATAATTCCCAAACTAATTATTAAAGAATTGCAGCATGACAACCGGTTAACTAGCATATATCCTTGTATATATATGTTATACTTGGAGGGTTACATTCAGAATATATACACTCTGATGGCTCCAGTGCACACCCTAACCAATCAGAGGTGGTACTTGAAGCAAAGCCTGATCAATAAACATTCAAAATAAAACAATTTTTAATTTTTTTTTACCCCATTTAAAAAAGCCACAACGGCGAAACGCATTCATGGATGTTTTATTTTGTATTTAAATAAAGGAATTCTTTTGGACAAATATACCTAGGTTTGTGCCAATTTCCTTTTTTTAATTTTTTGTTGCCTGCCTTTTTAACCACCACTCTAAAGAAATCACAGGTGGGGATCATACCACCAGAGCCAACACAGAACAGTCAGCCTGCTCTATGTTGTGTGAGTATATTTTATATACCTTTTTCCACTTGGTTTTTATCTTATCGAGAGCACTACTGTTGCCTCCCTACTTTTGTTGTCGTTTGAGCTCCAGCTAACCCAAAGACTGAGGATACCTACATCCCGAAATGGGGATTGTACCACTACAAGCGCTAGATGCTCGAGCTGGCTATAGCTCTGCCAAATGTAAGTGCATTATTATTATTATTCCACCATAACCACTTTATATGATACACATTGCAATATTAGGTCCTTTCTCTTTTCTTCTCTCCATTTCATATGACCGAATATCAGAGAGACTGATTAAGGATACCATTCCCAAGCTTTAAGAATTCACATCTCCCATTGAATATACCATATAGACACCATCTGGTGTGAACCTAAAGGTTTTCTTTTATACCTCTGCACTTGACTATATTCCATTACTCTCTGTGGCGCAGCCCCTATTTATCTTTGTAATATAGTAATTACACAACATATTTTTTTTATGCTCACTAGTGAACAAAATAATTGAAATTATGCACTCTAGTTATCAATTGTAAACATGCTAAACTCTTCTTAAGGAAGAGACTGAGAGACAAATAGAGAAAGTGATAGCTAACAGGTGAGAGAGTGTGAAATGCGTGGGTACAGACGATATCTGAGAGGTGTACACAGACATGCACAAACACAGAGTAAACTACTTTGGCAGAACCTGACAGGCACTTGGAAGTCTCAAGTCTCACACCCATGGAATAAGATAAGTATTAAGAACCCACAGGGACCAATGTTGGTCACCAGTTGTCCCCTCTCTTCCTTCTTCACCTAGGAATAGTTAATGGGGCCAAACAAATTCAGGGCTCCTGGTCCCCTGTCTAACCTCTGTGCCCTAGGCAACCACCTGTGATTGCCTTATGGATAATTCTGCTCTTTACGCAATGTCAACAAAAGGATGTAATTTAAAGTATTTACTATACTGGCAATTACAGCGGAGCGTATATATATTCAGATAATTTTCTTTTAAACTCTCAATATATTTAGTGATGTCATCAAACTTACTTGCAATCATTAATCCCTATATTTTAAAGTTAAGATTCTCTACATTTGTCAAAAGGCTAAATAGTTTTCAGTTTTTGGACACATTTTCAGTTTTTTCATATAGTGAACAAACTGTCTGGTTTTGTATGTTGTTGCAATTAATTTTTTTCTGTTATATATAACACTACCTTATCACTTTTGGGTTGTAAAAGGGGATTACAGAAATTATTGCGATCTATTACCAACTATAAAACATGAATCAAATCCTTTAAGGTACCATATGATGCTGTAGCCCCACTAAATACCTGAGACAAAAAACATGTACTTGTATTCCTGTTTTGGAATTACTGCTATATGTATTGTAATGCAATGTCCTTTAATATTGCTGCAAATTAAAGTAATCTTCACTACAGGCAGTGCCACTGACAAGTGAACAGGTGAATCAAATATGTGTTTGAGTCATTGTAGTGGCAGTTTTTTTCCAAGCTAATGAATTATCCTGAAATATGTGGGTTATTAAAGATCAGTTTTCCTGGGAATAATTGCAAACTTGGAGCCTTGCTTCAGAATTACTCGTTATAACTAACTACCAATATCACAAGTTAATATAAGCCTTAAAGACAGATGCTCGTTAAATAATGACAAATTAAAATGGTGTGTACTGTAACATATATCAGCTGTGCTAAAGCTATGTGGTGTGTACTGTAAAGTAAACTGTGGCAATTGTATGTGGGAAAGAAATTTGTTTGTAAAATGTAAGGATTATTTTAAGAGCTTGTTTATGTTTTAAGTCTGGTGTATTGAACATAAATACCATTATTAAAGTCTGTGGAAATTGATTATTCATTACCAAAGATAAAATAATGCAAAGTAAAGGTCCATAGGGCATCACAGTGAGATGCAATCAATGCTGATCCAATAAACGTCACCATTGATTGCACCTCACTTCTATGGATCTTTACTTTGGACTATTGTAATAAGATATGTGGATCCTTCCCTTGGTGTTCCAGTGATACAGGTGGCATCTAACAGTTATTAACCTGTACTGCAACATCACTATTGAACTCTATTGTCAACTAATAAAATATATTGGGATCCCTTCCACGTTTTTGTCAGAGAGTCCAAAATACTTATATACAAACTTTCATGCAGCCTATTGCAATCCCTGTAATAGGCCCTGTTAGATACAGGTAGCATCGAGACTCTTAAAGGGGTACTACCACAGCTACATATGTGCTTGGGTAAATGCTCAACAATTGCACATTCTCTAGGTCCATGGTGCAAAGATCTGAATTCTTTCTCCATTCCATCTGTTCTGTAGTTCTGCAAATATGTTATTGATGCATCATTGAAGGTATATTGCTTTCCCAAGACCTGTACAAAAATATGTATGGTCTGACTTTGTATAAGAAAGCTTTCATGATAATTGCGCGCATGTGTGTGGTCAGGTTGTTTCATTCATGAACAAATAGAAATTTGAAATCTGATTTCTATTTTATATAAACTCCAGATGTGCAGGAGTTATGAGATATACACAACACAGCGCCATGACAATATTAGGAGGGTCAGGATTGACCTAGATATCTCAGCCACTTTTTGGCCTCTGCAGATGTCACTGCAGAAGCTGCAGCTCGTGCGGACTTGTAGCAAACGAGGGGCTCTTGGAGTTCAGCTTACGTTTTATTGTTATTAATTTATATTTTTACATTCTAAAGGCCTTGTCTCAAAATTCTAATTAAGGAAAAAGACAGGGGAGGAATGAACTACAGAGAGGAGAGTCCCTTTAAGCTGCCACACATGGTGATAAATAGGTTAGCAGAACCTGAATTTGTTGATGCATTTATAAAACAGCCGAGATGCACGTATAAAGAATCAGTTCCTTCATGGATGAGCACATACTAATTTTGCTGTGGCAGTGAGAGATGCAGAACAGAGACAAATGCTAAGGGTCTTATTGTACAGCAGTCTTCTGCCAAGAAAGGATTTCTTCTTCAGATTATTGCTGACGGTGCAGGATCTCTGGGTGCTTTGCACCCCACCCTCCCGCCTTCCATGAAACTGTATCCTGCCTCCGACTGTGTATAGCCTTGGCACAGCACCCTTGTGCACTTCTCACGGCTACAGGCATTTGCCATCTGGGATGTGAGCAGTATAAATGGGGAGATAGCAGCATTTCAGCAATTCATTTCAAAATCTCCAGCAGTTTAGTATTACATTGCTATATGGATATGCTCAACGGCATATTACGGATCACTGGGTACTATTCATCTCTGTTTTAATAAAATCATTTTTATTCCCTTAATTTTGCCTTTATTTTAATTTCGTATCATTATGTATTTTTTCTAATGTAGGAGTGTGTTAATAAAGAATTCATTTTTGACTGTGAAATTGCACGGCTGGATTCTTTGATATAGAACCAGAAATAATCTTCTGAACCCCTTTTTTCTTATTTTCCTTTCCTTGTCTCCTTTTTATAGCAAGTACAAGTTACTGTTAGCAAAAATGTTTACAGGGTCTGATGCTATCATTCATTGTTCATCTGTCCATGGTGGTAACTTCATAAATCTTTTTGATAGATAGACATCTGTGTGACAGTAAGTAGTAGCACATAAGCATCTGTCCATCTCAGAAAATATCCCTTGTGGATCTATTAAAAGTTGTCTTCATTCATCATCTATATTATCCTGTAATCATTTACGCATTTACTTACATAAGTCTTGGCCCATGGGCAGATATCGTCCATTTTGGCCCACATTTTGGAAATCTCATTTGTGTTTAACTAGAAACTTTATATCAGTTTTAAAATCCTATTTCTACTTAACTTATCAGGCTATGCCAACCTCTTTACTCTACCTTGAAAATAGAATATGCTGCATATAAACTAGGAAAACAGAATGGTAATAATGAAAAAAAAGGATGTGTGTCTTAGACTAAACCTTTTAGAATTAAAAAAAAACCTCCATTGCAGGGTCAGGTGGGGGGTTTGGAAGAGGGCAACAGTGATCCACCTGTTCCTAAAGCCATCTCCTGCTCTTCTGCTTTTACAATTTCTCACATACATTGCCAATCTTACTAGTCGCAATATACACGTGAACAACCCTTTAGACCTCTCATCGGAAGACAGCTGCCAATATTAAACTGGAAAAACATTCTCTCCATGTCCTTCCATTCGGTTTTAACCAGTCCATCTTGAATTTCACAAACTCCAAAACTGACCGCTACGATGTTCTCTATTTTTCCACTTACTGAAACCAGTCAACCCAAGCATTTCCTTTCTTGAACTGTTTGTCTTTAACCATCTCTGATCCTTCGACCACCCATTCCAGAACTCATCAATCTTTTCTTTACAGAATTCTTTCCCTTTTACTCACTACGCCCTGGTCATGTTTTTACATCATATAAAACTGACGGATACATACTTTGTAGTTAAATAACTACATAATTCTCTGATTTTCCTTGTTTCTCACTAATACGGTAAAATTAATAGGACAGTATCTCACGTGTGGCAAAACTTGCTAATGGGTAAATACATTTAACATTGAAGTTCTTTAACATGATGTTGTTATTTAATTTCTATAAGAATTTAAATGGTTGCCCTATTTCACGGCATGACCTAAATTCTACTATCTGTGCAGAGCACAATAATAGTTAACAGGTACTTGCCTAGGAAGGCTACTTTAAGATTTGACTAGTTTTACTTATGTCCTGGGGTATAGATTTTATTACCCAGCTGACATGTACTGATTTTATCGACAAAAGCAAGAAAGACTCTGCAGGTTTGAATAGACTGCAACTAGCACATTCACCAACTGACCTATTTAACGGGCAGGAACTATGAACTGGTTTTACCTGTATCCTTCCACATTGACTTTACTATAACCTTTACAGATAACGATAAAGCATCCCAGCTCTTTAAGTATATTATTTTCACACATTGTACATAACCATATATTCGTATTCATGAACATATATTCAGTTACGACTATTTACAGCGCACATCCATATCAGTTTTTACTTAATTTAGCAAACAAAGTTTATTATCTACTACTAATTACAACTGCAGATAATGACAGTATCCCCCCATTATGGGGAGACAGATGGAAGTTTTCAAAGCAAGACATCTCGTTATAAGCCTACACTAATTTTGCTGACAGCTCTGCTCATAGAATAAATATTTTTTCTCCTTTTTTTCAAGAAACTGTTTTACAATCAATGGATTCGACACATTGCATGCATAAAAACAGACATTATTTTGGGATGATAATAAACCCACAAACACTCAGTGTACAGCAAGTTATGCATATAAAATTAAAAAGTAGGGTGTGATTAATTCTAATTTAAATAAAGTAACTTTGGGAATGTATGCTTCTCCTGGGAAGACACTATTAAGTGTAGCTGATGTCTGTTAGAATCTTATAAAGCATTATATGATATCATATTTCTTAAAAATGAATTGTTTGATAATATATAGTAAAAAGGCATTATACATGATCTCTTATTTTGAGATTTTGAGTCTAATGTTTCTTTAAAGTAGATATTTTAAGGTTATATGAATTGAACTAACTCTACCCGGCTATATCTATAAATTTAACCTTAACCTATATTTTCTTTCTCCTCATTATCCCACAAAATGACAGATGATTCATACAGATTATACATTTCTTGAACTTGTTCTGTATTCTACTATCTTTATCCAGAATACTAACAGCTTATCGGACTCCTCACTTCTAATTTTATCTCTGGTTTAAACCACTCAGGTCCAAAGTATTCGATACACATCTCAGCAATGTTTCCTTTGATATGTGTTAATGCCTTCAGGCATATTTAAATTGTTTTTGTGCTCAATTACTAAATTTACAGCGAGTAACATCTATATACCTGTTGCTATTTGTCTATTTATTTTTTCTTGACATGAAAATACATTGTTTGCATGTTCTTACACACGAGTCAGGGTTTATGTATGTTGACTAATTCACCACATACTGAAAATACTTTATAATTACTTCATATTTAATTTATAGCATAAAGTTTAAACGCCCAATGCAAATGTACTTGCCCACTGTTCTCCCATAATGTCTGTTATTCTTTGCTCTTCTATTGATTTTCTAATATTTAAAAAATATATATTTTTTCACTCTCACCCATTTCCCAACTTTTGAATAAGCTCATCACATGTAATTTCTATTTGTCGCACCTTTTCCCCAGTCATCACACATCTGCTTAAATGTATCTGCATGCATTCTATCCATTTCTATATGCACCCTTCAAATTTCCCACGACTCCCTCCCCTTGTACTCACTGAGGGATGGATCAAGATCCGTGGGAAGGGCTGACAGAAGGAGACGGTCGAAAGGCAACGGTGAGGTGCCCCAGAGGAGGAAATCCCTCTTAAATACTTTCTCCATCTGTTCTATTTTAGGATGGGTCATCCTTTCCCTCCTCCTTATACTGGACTATTGGTGTCAGATACCCTGGGACAGCAGGAAAGGATCATATTTATTGACAAGTATCTCATCAAGAAACTCTATTAATACGTCTGGCATGGGCTCAGCTTCTGGACATGGGCTTCTGAGGCCATAGGAGGAAGGAGGACAAGGAAAGAGGCAATCTTCATCAAAAAGAAGGGGTGGGGCAGGGAGAATCCACAGTACATTCACTTGACAACCCTAAAGTGATCACTGGGGTTCACACCCTGTAGTGGCTTAAGCAACATGTTATGGACTGTACTGGAGTGTGTTAGAACAGCCAAAAGATTTCGGGCTGTTATCCAAGGAATTTTAAATGTGCCAAAAGAATAGGTCAAAAGCCAACAGGATCCAGACAAATGGAAATCCAGGCCTTGTTGATCTCTTAGAATAATACATTTGTGGAGAACCAGAAGGAATTAACTAAATTGATATCATCCTAAGTGAAACATGTGCAAGTAAGAAGAAAAGGGAGATTATTATTCTATATTTTATTTCTTCACTGGGTGAACTAGAAAACACAGAAATGTTTTGGAGTGAGACGTATCTTGGTCCACTGAAGAACCTGGAGTGCGAAATAAGCTTATTTTCAAAATTAGTTGAGGAAGAACAAATGAGTTGAGGAAGAAAAAAAGAAAAGGATTATTGTTGGCTCCAGGTTTTTGTCTAGAAAACAAAGTATGACCCAAGGGAGAGAGATGCTCAAAACTAATCTGAGATCTATGTATACTTGCCTGGAGTGGCAAATGATTCTTTTCTGGATCTCATCTATTTTCTCTTAATTTTTTGGAATGTATTCAGTACGAACACCAAACCTCTAATGGATGCCAAGGAAACCAGTCTGTAACATGGGTTTGTTTTGTCATCATCATGCTGGAGTATACAATATAATATACTATTTATTTTATCAACAGTTATCTCATCCTCCAGATATAACTAAGTGATTGTAGCATCCTTGTGTAGTGGGAACCACTGGCCAAGATTGCCATTCCTTTCTGGAATGAAAAGGCAGTAGGTTCGACACAAATCATTCTGCCCATTCGTGCTCATTGCCATGTGCCAGAATTCCTCATGAATAAACTTGGACACACATACAGTAGCTTGTTGTAGTTGCAGGTATGAAATACACAGCCAAGACTCAATGGCATGTTGTACATCTCCTTTGTATGCAAGGGTTCAGATATTATATATCACTGACGTAACAGTCATTCATTATTTCCAAAAGCACGACTAGACGATGCATTTACCCCTCGACGGTCTGCTGAAGAATACAAACGGTAGTTTAGTACCGATTGAATTTACGAATTGAATGACTTGATGGCAAATATTAATACTAGAGGTACATACTGAATTAATGTTTTATATTGGCTAAAACTGTCTATGAGGGATACTTAACTATCTGAATATTGGTTTATCAGTTGAGAAATGGTTCTCTATGCTGTATATTTTTTTCATAATGACTTTTTATTAATTATACATTATTTGTTTTTTTTTTAAAGCAAAATAGACGTGGAAGTAATTGACCAATCATGATACATTATCCTACTGGAAATGTAAAATCATATGCACAAATTGTGGGATTTTTAGAATAATCAAATTTTGATCATGGCTGAATTTAATTTTTCCAGTTCTGCTATTTTGTCATTCTTTTCCAAATGTAGTTTTCAATGTATAACTTTTCACTTTTTAGTGAAGAAGCACCTTATTAAAGAATAATAATAATAATATATATATATATATATATACACACATATACACGCACTGTATATATTTACATATACACAAATATATACATGCGCACAAACTCACACAAACATTTTTTATATATTTCATTTTTTATTAATATTATTTTGTTCAATGTATTATTTCTTTACGATGTAAAGTTGCAATTTTCAGTCAGTACAACAGGGAGTTAAGATAAATTTATCTGAACATTTTCATGCAGATTATTCATTTAAATTCTTTCAGTGTGGGGAGAACAATTGGCGATAATGCAAAAAAGAAAAATACAAAGTAATGCACTGAAGATGCCATTTATAAAACTCCCTTAAGTGCAGTAGGAGGAATAAAAATAATATTGAAAAAGAAATATTACTAGCTGTACTAAGGGAAACAATCACATAGACTGCTTTATTTTAAAATCAAATTTCTTCTAAAACTTGTGTTCCGTCTGCAGAATGATTGCTCATTAAAATCCTTGTGGTTCTAAGATGTTCAGCTTCCGTTTCTGAGTCTGGTTTTAATCTGTAGAAATAGGTTATGGTTACTATTTCTTAACTCCTTTGTCATAGACAATTATAAAACTCATTAGTTTTCCAGCCAGGAAGAAGGGAACATATATATGCCTATATGCTGTTTTGAATGTATATATCCGCCACATTCCTTTTAACAATGGAAATAATTACTAATATATAACGAGAGAAAGAGAGCTATATCACAGCAGTTAGTTTTAGTGCATTAATAATGCCGGTGAGAGATTCTGAAAATAATGTATTCTGAACCCAAAGTTAGCATTTTTCTCCCCAATACACAATCCACAATTTTTTATTAAATTATTGTGAGCTTGCATGCTAAGGATGTCAATATAAATGAGCACTTGCCTTGCAAATACTTTTCATTGAGCTGCATTAGGAAGTCTGTGATTGGACAGCCAGAAAGTCTGGGCTGGGTTAGAGGGGGAGGGCTTGCAGAGGCTGCAGACAAGGGATCTGCACCACTTGCTGTTTTTAGATATACTATTCATAATTAAATGCCTGCATGTTCTCATTGGGCGCATAACTACCCAAAAATTATTTTAATTATTAATCTTTTTATTTGGGTAGTGGCGTGTTCCTTTTATTTAGAGTGCTGAGTCTACACTAACAAAGAAAATACTCCATACTACTTCCTATCAGAGTGTGTGCGTAGGGTTCTACAAGGATGCATATCCCTTCCCTCTGTAACACATTACAATAGGCTAAAGGAAAAAACAAATCCCTTTTGTTCCTCTTGCAGACAGCCTTATAAAACAGCGGATTATAAACTGCATAATTCACAGTAAGAGATTGGTGAGAAATAGTATATATAGTGTAGCCTGATTATGTACTTGTAGACATGTATAATACAGCCAGCACAATGTTGTAGGTAAGATATATTGAAGGTCGTGTATGCCTTTCGAGGTTGCAATGGCCACTTTACCACCCTTAAACAGATTGGCATGTCATAGGGCTTTTATTCAAGAAATGAATAAAAGAATGAGAAATGTCTTTGCTCAGGACCATGTAGTCACATGGTTATAATTACGCCAGCAAGAAGTCGACCTGGAGAGGCACTATTGAAGGTGAGGTTGATTGCAATTAACAGGGGGAGGGATGTCACAGAGGCAGAGCTGAGGGAGGGCTTAGGGAGCTTCATAATGAAAAAATCCTGGCACCACAACCTCTTCGAAACACTGAAGTGGTCATTGTGTTTGGAGTAACTCTTTAAGGTCAAAGTCTGGTTCCCTTTTGCTAGATTCTCCTTTGATATATACTTGTAGATTGGCTTCAGAATTCTTCCATAATAAGAAAATATGGAGATAAAATATCAAAGATAGAGATTACCTAGGCACATTTACAGTGGTGGAAATAAAGAGATCCCCTGGACTGTAAGGAAGGGGAGGCATGACTGCTGCCACTCAGTAAGAGGTGTGGATTTATGGGATACATTTGTTGCAACATGGGGGACAGTATAAGTATGTGTGCAAGAGGAGGGTACTCAACATTCCCAGAAAGAAAGGCAGGAACAGGTTTTCCATTCTTTCCATAGTCTGTAAAAAAAAAAAAAAGGAGGAAGAAGAAGAAATAAGAAGCTTTGCATTACCTGTAGTGTCTTACCTGCTGCTGTGATTACTTTAAGATGGATGCAGTTTCTAAGTATGCCCTGACTGGGATGCTGCAGGCTTACCTGTATTTTCATGGAGCTGGCTCTCTGGCTGAGGTGATGGCCAGTCTGCCCCAGGATGTGAGAGGAGAGGACCTGCAGGAGGCAGAGAGCCCGGTGAGGCAGCTGGTCCGGTCGGGAGACTCACCAGAATCGTTGATGGCGTGGTGAGTGGTGCATCCCGGGCTGCCAGGAGGCGGCCGCGGGCTGCAAGGAGGTCGGTGAGTCGGGCCCAAGATGGCGGAGTGCGGGAAGAGCGCTCGAGGAGTCCCCCTTCTTTTCCGGCCCCACCGGAAATGACGTGTGTATGCAGGACGGTTGGATGGAGCGTGCTAGCGCCGGCAGTGATGGGCGGCGTGCACATGATGATGTCACGTGCGCATACATCACGGAACCCAGAAGTGGCTGAAATTCATCGCCGGGAGCCTTGGAGAGCCGGGTAGCAGCGGCAGCACATGACAGAAGTCACCGGAGAGGCATGGTGGCGGGGGGCCGGCCCCTGGCTGAGGAAAGACCTGGAGGAAGAGGGAGAATGGTCACTACCAGCAGCCCAGCAGGTAGTGGACCCAGCAGTTGGCGGACCGGACGGCTGCCAGCAGATCCAGAGGAGTCGGAGTCAGGAGTCCATGACTCTGAGCAGGACCACCAGGGAGATCGTGGTGACTGCCCTGGAGAGCGGGCTACCATGGCAGCTCCTGTCAGCGGTGAGTTGGCCTGCGCTAGTGCTTGGGGTAGCCTAGCCGGGGGGCAGGGCGCTTCAGGGGGTTTAAATCAGGATAAAGGGGACTTGCTGTGCCTGCTTAGGGAGGTTGTAGATAGGTTGCTGCACACTGCGCACAGCGAGACCCATAGGGAGGTTGTAGATAGGTTGCCACCCACTGCGCACAACGAGACCCATAGGGGCCTGGGGGTGCAGGCCTCAGTAACACAGTCATGGGGAGGGGCTTTCCACCCTCCGCTACCCGGCTGTGAATTGTCTCCCTTGGGCATGCACAGTCATGGGGAGGGGCTTCCCGCCCTCCGCTACCCGGCTGTGAATTGTCTCCCTTGGGCATGCACAGTCATGGGGAGGGGCTTTCCGCCCTCCGCTACCCGGCTGTGAATTGTCTCCCTTGGGCATGCACGTCCCAGTCGAGACATGGGATAAGATTTTAAAGGGAGAGTTTATAGATTTCCTCTCGCTGGTCCCTCCTGAGAAGGATTCCGTGGATAGGCCACATCGTGGCGATCCCCAGGACAGAGAGAAGAGCAAGCAACTCCCACGGACGTTTGGGAATTGGTTGCAAGGTTTTGCCGTGTTCACCAGTATCCTAACCAGGCGTTTTCCAGAGCGGGAGCCTTCCTTGTTCGGCTATCTAGACCTTATTTGGGGTGCATATAAGGTTTATGGCGGACAGAGCTGGTACCGGTATGACCAGCAGTTCTGCCAAAAGATGGCGGCGTGTCCCGGGTTAGATTTCAGTGCCCAGGATAGTAGCCTATGGCTGCTGATTATGACCCCCAGTCGTCCATCGCCCTTTTCAGGAGCAGCCGGGGCGCCCTCTGGTGCACCGGCTGGTCAGAAAAAAGGAGTCTGCTGGCTCTTTAATGAGAGCCACTGCAGGTGGTACTCCTCCTGCCGGTTTCGGCATGAGTGCTCGAATTGCGTTGCTTTAAGAAGGCGAGGCAGCCTGTGCCTAAGGCGGGGGGACGGACGGACGGGTCAAAAGGGGAAGACTCCAGTGAGCGTGGCAAGGATGTTGCCATGGCTCGAGCTTTACCCTAGACGCCACGACTCTGTGGTTCTAGGGGAAGGGTTTTCCAAAGGTTTTTGGATCCCCTTTGTTTTTTCTCTGGAGCCGCGTTTGGCTGATAATCTACGGTCAGTCAAGGGCAAGGAGCCCCTGTTGGGTGACAAGTTGTCTAAGGAGACAGCACTGGGTCGCATGGCTGGGCCATTCGATTTTCACCCCTTTCCTAACTTGTGGGTCTCCCCTTTGGGACTAGTCCCGAAAAAGGAGGCTGGCTCTTTTCGGATGATTCATCACTTGTTCTACCCGGCTGTGAGTTCAGTGAATGATGACATTGACAAAGAGTTCAGCAGGGTCCGGTATGCCTCTTTTGATCGGGCTCTGTCGCTGGTTAGAAAAGCTGTAGGGGCACTCATGGTCAAATCTGATATTGAATCGGCCTTCCGGTTATTGCCGGTTCACCCGGACTGTTTTCACCTTCTGGGTTGTCAGTTTCAAGGGTCATATTTTTATGATATGTGCCTTCCCATGGGTTGTGCCATTTCCTGTTCCTACTTCAAA